ACCAGTAAGCCCCCTTAAGAAAACAAAATCAGTAACGGTTCACACTATCAATCTTAATTTTAACCTTTTTGTTTCATTACAAAATGAAAAAACACACAACATATGCTTGAGCTATTAAGCATTTTTAATAGCTATTTTAATTAAATTTAAGAACAGAGCCGATAAATTTATTACAATATTATTTTATTAGTATTTAGTAGCGGCAGTATGCGTATTTAATATGTTTGCTTAAGGTATATAGACCGAACGTTCTGAATATCAATAATTGACTGATCGCAGGGCAAAATGGGCCGACTGCCTGTGCCCTATGCATAACGAGAGCGTGAGAGCATTATGGCATAGTTAGGCTCGGCTTCAATGGAGCAACACGAGATTTTGCACAGAGTAAGTGGCTGCTGAACCGCTGACCCTTAGACACAACATAAATGCAGGCACCATAAGCCTCAATGCTGGCGTCGCAAAATCCGTGAATTTCTAGCTCAAAATTCGGAATAAGCACGAACCGAGGAAATTCATAGCGTCGAATGTGGCCAAAACTGTTACATAATTCCTGCCAGGAGGTGTTCAGTCCGGATGGCAAGCTTTCATCCCAGGACAACTTCTCCTTGCACAACTGCTGGAGAAAGATTTCTGCCTTTGTAATGACAGCTCCAGCTGGTCCAAGGGGGTCGTAGAACCGGGCTATTGTAGACAAGACGGAACGCCTGCAGGGATGCGAAGACGAATGTAGGGCAGAAAAGGAGAATAAAAGTTGATCAGACACAGGATCCCAGGCAATTCCCAGTGCTTTGGTAAAATCACTGTCATCGTCGAACTTCAAATTAGTTTCCTTCTCCTCCTTAGGAACCCCATCGAGGACAGCAGGGACGTTCGAACACCATTTCCTCAGTCGGAACTGGCCTCTACTCAAAAATCCTGCAGTTTGGTCACGAATGCGGATAGCCTCCTCCGGAGAGCTGGCTCCAGATATTAGGTCATCAACGTAGAAGTCACGGCGAAGAATCTCAGTCCCAATAGGAAACGCTGTCTGTTCTTCCATTGATCCATTGATCCATCCAGCTGATGCATCGCCCGCACAGATAAATAAGAGGCAGGCTTCGTCCCATAAGTTACGGTATCCAGCTTGAATACACGCAACTCCTCTTGCATGGAATTCGTCCATAGAATACTCTGCAAGTTACTGTCCTCAGATGAGACCCTGACACATCGGTACATCTTGCAAATATCTCCCGTAATCGCAACTGCATGTGACCGAAATCGAGTAAGAATATGGAAAAGCTTCGGTTGGATTACAGGACCGGCCATTAAAACGTCGTTCAGGGAATAACCAGATGATGTTGATGCAGATCCATCGAAAACGACCCGAAGCTTGGTTGTAGAACTATCTTCCTTTGTGACGCAATGGTGAGGCAAAAAATATCGGCAGGAGGACATATGACTTAGATCAAGGTACTCTTTTATAAAAGCAGCATACAGAGATTTTACATCAGGACGCTGATCTAACTTCCGTTCAAGAGATAAGAACCTTCAAAGAGCTTGATGATACGATTCTCCCAAGACATCCAGATTGTATTTTGCGGGCAGCCTAACACAATAATCGCCGGTTTGCAATCGGCGGAAATGCTGCACAAAGTGAGCTTCACAATCTAGCTCTTCTTTGGTAGAATTTACTATGGGTTCGATGCAATTCTCTACCTCCCAAAGCCGTCGCAGCAGGACCTCAAGTTTCTCGTCTAGGTTATGCAGCTACGGCCGGGGCGCGCGAAACCATTAAAGAGGACCCCTTCCTTACTCGGGAACAACCTCAAGATATGACCCATCCCAAGCGAGTCTTCTGAATTGAGGGCAATCCTGGCAATAGCGTGACCTGGGCAACGCAGAGGAGTTCGTAAAACAAGCTGGCGCCAATTAGAAGATTAACACGCTGCGGTCTATAGAACTCTGGATCAGCTAGTGGCAGATTTGCTGGAATATTCCAGTTGCAAGTGTCTATTCCGAAGCTCGGCTGCCGGTCAGTTATGCTAGAGGCTACGACAGCGGTGATGAGAGTTGAGTATTCCGATGAGCGAGAGTGCAGACTGACGTTCACTCCATCCGTGACAAAGGTAGAATCGCCTATTCCTGATACTGACGTTGATGATTTCATTTTTCGAAGCTGAAGCTGATTTGCGAAGCGAGAAGTAAGTGTAGTTGAGAGCCAGAATCAAGCAACGCTCGACAGGGAACAAAAACTCCGGAACGATTTTTTACCAAGACTGTTGTCGTGGCTAGCAGAACGACATCATCACTGAGACCCTGGGCAATAAGAGCAGAAGAGGTAGATGCTGGGATAGATGGTTAAGTGGTATGAGTAGCCGCCGTGGACGATGAAGCAGAGGACTCAGCGATGGGATGAGATGACGCAGACGGAGACGAAGTGCCAAGTGGAACAGATCCACCTTGGGCTGCAGTAGCATCAAGGCCACCGAAATGCAATAGAGTGTGGTGCCTACGTCCACAGGTACGGCATTTGCTGGAGCTAAATTGACTCAATCGATGCCCTGTTTTGAGGCAATTTACACACAGGGAAAGCCTTTTGGCTTCCTTATGGCGATTTGCGGGAGACAGTGCTATAAAATTGGGACAATGATTGATTTCGTGAGCGCTGTCATTGCACAGCACGCAGTTTGATGTGTTTTGGTTAATGGCAACAAGTGTGGATTTAGAATGGTTAGGTTTTCTACTACTGCCCACCTGACTGCTTGGCGCATATGTTGCCATAGCGAAATCCACTGTTACCAACGTCCTGCATCGCTGATCCAAAAACGAGGCCATGGACTCGCATGATGAAATCAAGTTGACGAAGGCTGAGTCCTCTAAACGTTCCTCCCACTTGGCTTGAGTCGCCGGGTCCAGTTTACGAAGTATCACCTTCACTATGATGCATCCTGCGATCTGCTCAGGCGTGCCCAAAGCCTGCAGCGCCCGAATATGAGCGTTGAACTTGTCAGAAATCTCCCGCAGCATCGACACTGACCCATTCTCAACTGCCTGCAGCCCCAGAATCTCAGTAATGTGCGCCTGAAAAACTAAACGACGATTATTAAAACGCTTTTCCAATAAATCCAATGCTATATTATAGTTGCTGTCCGAGATTTCCAGCGAACGAACTGTCTCCAACGCCGAGTCACGCAGGCAAGATCGCAGATGCTGAAAATACTCAATGTTGGGTAGCTCTGGATGATTGTCGATGATGGTCGTGAACATCGAGTAAAAGTCCGCCCAATCCGCATATCCTCCGCTAAACCTTGGCAATTGTATGGGAGAAAAGGATGATCCTGGCCTACGACGAGGTGGCGGCTGAGCACCGGGAAAACCTGCAGTTGCATTTGCTCCAGCAAACGTAGAATGCAGCGGAATGTATCCGCTAATCCTAGAAGTTTCACGCATGATCGAAGCCTTGAGAGCACTGGCAATTGTTTCAAAGCTGTCGCACAGTCCACTATGAATTTCGTTGCAGTCCAATTCTTCAAGCTCATTGTGCAATGTTTCAAATTGCCCATTCAGCTTCTCGATCTGCTCCAGCTTTACACGTAGCATGTAATAGTCACAGACAGCAGCCTCATCTTCCCAAGCGGTAGCCAATCTTTTCACTTTCTCACATAGTTCCGTTGACTTAATCCTCAGAAAAGACACCCTGTTTTGCTCCCTGGGCACTGGAGCGTCGTTGGCAGCATCCATAGCAGCAGCGGTTCTAAAAACGTTCGTAGCGGGAAGAGGAACACAAAGCGCAACGCTCGTAACAAACGGGAACTTCAAGCGCAATTTGTGTATACACAGGCGGCCGGTGTATATGCTTGTATGTGGTCTATGGCACTGGTTATGTTATCGATGGCACTGGATCAGAGCGGCGAGCAAAGCAGACGAACGAAGGGCAATTAAGTGTTAATTATTATGTTGAAATGGCAAATGGCATAGTTAGGCTCGGCTTCTGAGCCGAGTAGAACAAGAGAGCTGCTTAAACGCAGCAGGTGCAGCAGCAACACGAAGGCAGCGGGAGACAGCTGCCAGAACAGCCGCTGCCGGGCGTATTCACATGCTTGACCCGACAGCATATATACATTATTGGTAGATTCAGGTGCGGACATATTTTCAGACACATTTCGTAACATAGATTACAAAAATATCGCACAAATATCAGGTATTGGTGAAGGTTCAACCAATTCCAAAGGATTAACATTCATAGAACTTCTCTTAGGAAAATATGCTATTCCACATAATTTTCATATAGTAGATTCAAACTTTCCCATTCCTTGCGATGGAATAATTGGTATTTCATGAAAAAATTCAATTGTCAAATAGACTTAAAACCAGAAAATGATTGGCTCATCCTGAGACCAAATAATTTCCATTATCCCACCAATATTCCAATATATCATACACTAGAAAACAATTTAACAATTTTACCAGCACGATCCGAAGTTGTCCGAAAGATTGCTATAAATACAGCAACTGAATATATATTCATACCAAATCAAGACATTCAAAATGGAGTATACATTGGAAACTCCATTTCAGACTCTCAAAACACCTTCGTCCGAATATTAAATACAACAAATACAAATGCAATCATTGAATTAAATACAATAAAATTCGAACCATTAGATGATTACGACATAGTAAATGAAAATCCGGAATGGTTTTCCCGGAACGATGATGTGGGATGACGACGGTCCAGCAGCTCTAGATGGTTTTTTCCTACAACGGTGGTATACGATGTCAGCGAAGATTCAACCAAAACGCAGCCGTTCAATTTAAATTCATTTAATGCACTGGTCGCAGCCAGCGATGCTAACGTTCGCCCACTCCAGAAGGGAGCCGATCGAACATGCTGGGAGATGGCGTAACAGCGACTGAGCGTAACAATTCATTAACTCTTATACTATGCTATTCTATGCTAAGTTATGCTATTTTGCTGCTGCTGCTTCAACATTCCGGCCCCGTTGAAGGCCTCCGGCGCTTCAACCATCCATTGGCAATTTTGCCAGTTTTTGGACTGCTCGTTTAATAACGCCTGCGGAAGTTCGCACCTCTGCCACGCGCACTCTCCCATCTTCTCCTGCCGTCGTTGCCACCACTCGCCCTGTGGTCCACTTCTGTGGCGGTGTGTTGTCCTCGTGGACGAGCACTAGGCATCCTGCCTCGAGGTTCGGTCCTTCGGTACACCATTGCTGCCGCTGCTGCAGGCTGGCCAGGTAGTCTTTGGACCAGCCCTGCCAAAACTGCTCTTTGAGCGCGGACAGCATGCGCCACCGCTTCAAATAGTCGAAGCCGCCCTTGCTGCATTTGGCGTCTTGCTCGGATTCGGACGGCAGCGAAAGAAGCGGCTGCCCGATGAGCAGGTGCCCTGGCGTCAGGGCTTCTCCATCGCTGGGGTCGTTGCCTGGCGAAGCGATTGGCCGGGAGTTGAGGATGGCCTCTACCTCGACCAGGTGGGTGCTGAGCTCGTCCGCGGTGAGCTTGGCGTTGCCAACTCCACGTATCAGCCGCTGTTTGGCTGCCTTGACTGCCGCCTCCCAAAGCCCTCCGAAGTGCGGTGCTCTCGGTGGTATGAAACACCACTCGACGCCGTACGTCTGCGTACGTCCTGCGTACGTCCTGAGCCGATCCTGATCCCTCTGAAATGCTGCGTGAAGCTCTTCCATCACTCGGCTCGCGCCCACGAAGTTGGTGGCGTTGTCGCTGTAGACCTTCACCGGAAAGCCTCCCCTCCCGACGAACCTTTTGAAAACACACAAAAAACTATCAGTTGATAGGTCGACTACTAATTCGAGGTGAACAGCCTTTGAATGGGGGACCTGCCTCGAATTTTGAGGGACACCTGAAACGGACCGCAGAAATCTACCCCACAAATCAGAAAGGGGCGAGCTCTTTGCACTCGGTCAGCTGGCAGGTTTCCCATGATCTGTCCCATAAGGATGGGCTTGTATCGGAAACAGTGCACACAATTCCTCACGATTCTTGTGCATGCTTCTCGGGCGTTCAATAGCCAAATCTGCTGCCTTAGAAGGGAAACCATTACTTTTGCACCTGCATGATAATGAGCACGATGCAAATGGCGTAGAAACAGTGTCACGAACTGCGACTTTTGCGACAGCAGTAAAGGAAACTTCGCATCGTATGGAATTTCTGCGTGCAGCAATCTTCCCCCAACACGAATCAGTCGGAAGGTGACTCCGCCGCGTTCGCTCGTGTGTATGAACGGGCTGAGTCGTTGAAGATGTGGAGACAAAATTTCCGACCTATCCAGTTTGAGGAATTCTGATCCAAGCTCACATCTTTGGACTACCTGTACCAGCCTAAGAAATGAGACCTTCAGCTCCTTAGCTGATACAACCACATCTCGACTGCGATTGCCACCTTGAATGAACCGATTCACATACGCCATGATCCGAAGCAACTTCTGAAACGAAGAGCATCTTCCAATCAGCTCGATGACCTCATTAGTCTGACCCTTTGCCACAGAATGTGCTGCCACAATTTTCTTGTCTTCTGACTTTTCCATTTCTGGGGACAACTCAACCTGATGAAGACGCGGCCAATTCTCAGGACCACGAAGAAGAAAATGCGGCCCATTAGTCCACAATGAGCACATTACACCATCTACATCTGTTCCACGGGACACTAAGTCTGCTGGGTTTTGATCGGTGGGAACGTGACGCCAAATCACACCACTGGACAACTCCTGGATTTCAGCAACCCAATTGGCCACAAACGTTGCTAGGGTGGCTGGGTCCCTATCCAGCCAATACAAGGTGACCTGGGAGTCCGACCAAAAGTTCACGCTTTCAATTACAAACTTGTCTAACAGCAGTCGAACTTGAGACCATAGCGTGGATAGAAGAAGCGCTGCACACAATTCGAGTCGTGGAATTGATTTCGTTTTAAGAGGCGATACTCGGGACTTTGCTGTAAGAAGTCGGGATAAAACATTTTTATCGTCCTTGGTACGAACGTATATACAACATCCGTACGCATCACCTGATGCGTCAGCGAATCCGTGTATTTGGATAGTGGAATTATTGGCAAGACCGATAAAGCGAGGTATAGAGATTTTGTCCAAGTCGAATAAATTCTGCTTGAACCTGTTCCTACTCGTATGCAGACTCATGGGAACTGACTCGTCCCAATCCAACTTTTGCCTCCACAGATGCTGCAGCAAGATCTTTGCCCTGGTAATTAAGGGACATAGTAACCCTAATGGGTCGAACAATCGCGAAGCAACTGACAATATGTTGCGCTTCGTAGGGGGTAATGAATCAAAGGAGGCGTCCAGCTGATAGTGAAACAAATCAGTTTGCGGATTCCAACGAATTCCGAGTGTTTTAATGGAAGCGGAAGGGTCAAACTGAAGAGACTTTTCCTGGCCACTATCGGACAGAAGATGGGGATGATTTGACGCCCATTTGGCCAACATGAAACCCCCAGCTTCCATGACATCACTCACTTCCTGCCGAATTCTTCCCAGTTCTTAAAGACTGTTTGCTCCTGTCAAAGTAAAAGTCATTTGCTATGAGTTGGGGGGCCCACAGGGGGGGGTTTTGGATAGACTTTTGCTAGCTCAACGAGACAGCGGATGGCCAGAAATGGAGCTGAAGCTGTCCCATACGTGGCCGTATTCAGGCGATAACTTTGCACGTCAATATTTGCTTTCTCCCTCCAAAGAATCAATTGGAAATTTCGATCTTCTTCAGCAACCTGCACTTGCCGCAAGTGCTTCTTATCCGCTGTAAGGGCAAAACGGTTTAATCGAAGCCGTGCAAGAGTTGCAAAAAGCTCCCTCTGAATAGTGGCTCCCACCATCAAAGTCTCGTTTAAAGAGATTGAAGTTGAAGTTTTACTCGATGCATCAAACACTACGCGGAGCTTGGTGGTGCTACTATCAGGTCTCAGGACACATTGATGCGGAATATAGTAATGGTGTCCTGGAGGAGTGCCTGGAAGCAATGACATGTGACCAAGGTTGAGATACTCTTTCATAAACTCCATATACATGTCATGCAGGTACTGATCACTCGCGATTCTGCGTTCCAGGGATAGAAAGCGGCGTTTTGCCGTCTCGAAAGAGGAACCCAAAACCTTGGGATTCATTTTAAACGCGTTCGCAAGCCAACTGTTCAGCTGTATGTACAGCCTTCGACTTCTCTGGGACATGTTCCAATTCCCAAAAGCGCTCCACCAGAGAGTCGAGAGAACACGTATCGCTACCAACAGCGTTATTGCATACAACATCCTGTTTTGATGCAGTATATTTTCCCGAAACAATCCAGCCCAACAACGTTTTCTGGATTGATGGATGTTCGGAACTTGGCTTTATTTGGCCCACACATATCAATTCGAAGAAGGTTTCTGCCCCTAGCAGTAAGTCGACCTTAGCAGGCTTGAAAAAATGTGGGTCTGCCAGCTCAAGGTTTGCTGGAATATTCCACTGGGCGAAATTTTCGACATGGTCGGGTTGGTATGTGGAGATTGAACGTAATACCCAAAAATCGGTTGAAAAATGATGAGCGTTGACACGAGATTGGACGGACTTGTGAACCTTGTTCTTTACGACGGACGAACTTTTTCCAACAGTTGTGATACTAATGCATGACTCGTCACGGTGCAGTCTTAGACGCTGTGCGAGATCCTCGGAAATAAAATTTATCTGGGAGCCGGAATCCAGCAGCGCCCTAGCATATTGGAACTGTCCGAACCGATCTTTCACCTTTACTACTGCCGTCGCGAGAATCACTTGGTCAGTACTCGCCACATGACTCGAGTATGCTGTTGGGTTTTCAGAAACTGAGGGCTGTTCTACAGGAGCCGAACCAGACGTACTTTGCTGTGACTCTACCCAGTATCGGTGAAGCAACGTATTATGGGACTTGGAGCACACTCGACATTTTGCTGTCTTGCACTTCGTAACTGTATGACCTGGCTTCAAACAATTTATACACAAGCGAAGTTGCTTGGTGATATCAAAACGTTGAAGAACAGGAAGAGCACTGAACGCTTGACAACTGCTTATGATTGCTCGCTGAACAATAGCTACACTTCGACTCGGCGCGCCGATCTGACTTTGCACAGGAAAAGGAAGACTTCGTGTGTCCTTTGCCTATCTCTGATTTGCCTTTTCCCTTACTCCTTGTTGACTCTTCAGCTGACAGATGCTGATAGCGCCGATTCAACTGGGATGCGCAATCGGACCACGACGGCAATTTGTCGTAATCCAATTGCTCTTCGAAGCGCGATTTTGTAGTATGATCTACTTTGGACATTGCTATGTGAATCAGCATTGCACTATTTATGTCCTTCTCACTTCCTAACGACTGCAGAGAGGAGTAGAGGGCAGATACCGTGTCAATGAGGGATCTCAGGCATGAAGCAGAGGGTCTTGTTATTTGGGGAATGTCGAACAACTGCGAGATGGTGTCGAAAAAGATTAAACACTTGTTATCGTAAACATTCTTTAAGCTCTCCAGAGCCTTTTCATAATTGCTCTCAGAGATTTGGAACGCCTTCACTGTGCCCAATGCAGCATCAGTGAGACAAGCCAGCAAGTGGTTAAACTTTTCTACGTTCGTTAATGATGGGTCGCTATGCACCAAACTCTCAAACAGGCTTATGAAGTTTTTAAATTCGGAATGTTTTCCAATAAACTTAGGCAAATTCATTTTTGGCAGGTGTGACGAATGACGCTGATCGCCGCGATCGTTCCTATGTGCTCGCTGACTCTCAGGTACGTTTACTGCGGACATATACATAGCCCTCGTAGTAATACACACATCCTCGACCATTGACCTTAAATCGTTGCTGGGATTCAACAAATCTACATCTGCCTGAATGTCCATTAACTTGTCGCAATAATTTTCGATCAGTTCTAACCTGCACTTAATTTGAAGAGGATCAAACGAAATTGTTTTTTCCTCGAAAGCCGTTTTCTGTCGCCTAATGTCGTTCATCACCTTGTCGTGTTTTGCATTGCGGTCAGTAACTTTTGGCTGAGCTTGGACCCTACTTCCTTGGCCGCGAATTCTTTCTCTTTTTCACTCATTTTTGACACGATTACTCAAATTAATACCGTCAAAGGTTAATGCGCAGGTTTTCGCACGGTTCAAACAAGCTAATATGAGGGTGAGTACGCTGTATTCAACGAACTGTTTTTAACCAAACACCAAAACAAACAACAAGAAGTTCCCCAAAACTCTCTATTGGCGGGTTAAAAAAGCGCTAGCAACGTTACCGCTTTGCAGAATTATGATGCCAACGCACACAACCGAAACCGCCAGAGTTTATTATCCACAATTAATTACAAAAACACCGACAGCAGAAATGTCTAAAGACTATGTGTTTCGTCATGTCGTCGTCTTAGTCAATGTTTTATGTTAAGATTATTTTTGAATTGTTTTGAAGTCTAGTGTAAGTAGGTTAGGGCAAGGCGGGAGCGCAATAAAAGCTCGCTCTTTCGCTCAAGGCGAATTCGCCCCGCTTTGCCACCGTAGGTTAGTTAGGCATAGAATGAAGTGTAATGAATTTTTAGAATAGAATCGTTGAAATTGAATTCGATCGAGCGCACCTAAATTATTTCGTCCCCGCTTTTAATAAATCTTTACGCCACCCAAGTATTTCGGTTTTGTGTTATTAGAAAAACTATTCTAAATTTTCACTATGTATCGGCTTTAATGGGTTAATGCGGCGACAGCAAGAGCGACGAGAAAAATTATGCTCTCAGCGCACACAACCAAACGCCGCCAAACTATGCACAATTTGGCGCAACTATAGCGTTACCGAAGCCAACAGACCACCAAGAAGCGGTACTTGATAAAAGAGAATTGACAATAGAGGCAATGACCGTTCCGTTGCTTTTGATTAGCGAGTACAGTCGGACCTCAATATTATGTACACTTTTTTATTGAGTTTCCACATATAAATAATTATTCGATATTTCTGGCTAGTTCACTTCGGTTGATTTTATTTGGGTTATGTTATATTAAATTGGTATTCCAATTCATGCAGTGCCAGAAAATGAGGCCACCGGCTATGGTGCTATAATAGGCACACACGACTCACAAATTTGTGGATTGATTGCACTCAATTTTTGACACTAGAATACCTGTAGATTCGGCATTGAATTTTCCGAAGAACTTTCCTTAATGCGATGCTTCACCAGATGTCGCAGACCAGCCAGCTAGAGCTTTATTCGCACAAAGACTAAAAACCAGTAACTTGTGCCGAGACGACGAAAGTGCACTGTTAACTGTTTTTGTCTTGCGAATTTCCACGAAATGCTGATAACTGATGTCCCTGATCGGGAGCCAATGAAAATCCGGAATGGTTTTCCCGGAACGATGATGTGGGATGACGCCGGTCCAGCAGCTCTAGATGGTTTTTTCCTACAACGGTGGTATACGATGTCAGCGAAGATTCAACCAAAACGCAGCCGTTCAATTTAAATTCATTTAATGCACTGGTCGCAGCCAGCGATGCTAACGTTCGCCCACTACAGAAGGGAGCCGATCGAAC